TATACAGTTTGGGTAGTTTCATTCTTTTTCATTGTAATATGCATTTTGAAATAGACTCATATTCATATATGAAAATGTAATTTAGAATTTAAAGCCATACATGGTAGACTACTTCCCCCAGAGGTGGAGAGACTGAAGTTTTCCCATTTCGTAAGCCCAAGAGAAAATAAATCCCAGGAACCAAACACATTCATAGTATAATCACAAACACAGGTATTATGAAAACCAATTCAAATGGAAATAGAAAAAACAGGAGAATACTGTAATCCTTTCTTAAAATATCAGTTGGGTTTGTATTTTATGACTTAATTTGCAAAAAGTCAGTGCATCTGAGAAATAGAAATTAGTGCTAGAATCTGTATTGTGAAGTCAGTTTTTCTGTATAGCTAGGCATAAATCATTGTATAAAGAAATTAATTCATGGCATCAAAAAAACATTGTCGAATGCAAACATTGTGCCAAGCCTGGTGTCATTAGTGTGAGTGAACCAGGCAGATACAGTCCCTGTCTTCAGACAGCACATGGTTAGTATGTGAGGAAGAGACACTAGGGGAATACAGTGGGATGCGGACATGGTAAGACGATCTCAGAGTGAGTGCAAAAACTCCTGGTGTCTGAGAGCAGTAGTGTGCAAGTGCAAGGTAGAGGAGAATGGTTTGCACGGCTCTAGTCTCTGAAGAATCCCTAGAAATTCTCCAATCTATTTTTATGTTCTGTGAGCTTGTAGCCCTTATTCAATCATCTGCACTTTATCTTTATCTGATTTGACTTCTTGAATCAATTTCTGGTTTTGAATATTTCCCCCGGCCCCCTACAATATAGTTCTGCTACAGAACCTCTCTGTTGGGGTTATAAGAAGGCTGACTTGAAAGTTACTTGACCACTGTAGGATCAAAGAAGAGGCTGGAAGATGGAATTTAAACAGACTCTTTTTGGAGTCTCTCTGTAACTTGTAACTTGAACAGGTGGCTTGGGCACTCCCTGATTCTTAGTGTAGTGGTCAACTCTCAGACCATGATAAACAGACCTGTTTTGTTCCTAATCAAAAGCACATTTCAACTGTTACTATAATTTTTGCTATAACCTTGTTTAATTGACAAGTAAACTCAGATCCATGGAGATAAAACAGAATGACAGGCATTGTGGTTCTGATATTTTTCATAAATCACGTCTTATTTGCCCATGCTAAGTCAGGGATCACTTTGATTGATGAATATATTCTTCAAATAAATGGGAATGAAGCTGGCCCTATATTGGGTTTACTACTCTAAGGCACTGGTAATCCTGTATGTTCAAGCACTTTATGCTTCTTTGAGAGGAATAGACTAATCATAACTAGTGAAATGTCATAGAGGTGATTTTTAAAATATCTTTTATTTTATTTGGTAATGAGGTTTGTTGAGTGTAGATCTAAATATGGGAAGGCAGAAATTAGCACTACAGTATTTTTCATTGTTTGTTTTTTTATTACTAGAAACAAAATAGTCTTTTGTCCTTACTTCCTCTAATATATAACTAAGACGTTTGTGCCCTTAACTTCTGGGACTCTGATTAAAAAAAAAAGCCATAGACAGCCAAATGGTATGTGTGTTATGTTATTAGATGCACTGCAAGGAACAAATATATATATTTCAGTAAAGTTGACTTCTATAAGCTGCATGTCTGAACAACTAATCTTTTTCATAGAGAGAGAGAGCTATATTTCATATGATTATGGACCCTAACAATTCAAATCCATTTGCTCACTTCTGTTGGTGCATGACTCAGGAAAATGGATTTTTTTCTTTAAGACTGCACTGTGGGTATACGCAATGAAGACACTCTTAAATGCTTCTAAGATTTAATTAGTGGAACATCACAGATACACGGGAAATTCCTTTGTGGGAGGGTTCTCTATTATGCTGTCGTGCCTGATATGCTTCAAACATGGTTTCTCCACTTTAGAGAGAAACTGGTATGTAAGGTGGCTTTGGGAATTAGCGGAAACCTCTTAACATTTGCATAGAAAAATAGGCACAGTATAACTAATGGCTTGTGTTTGATTTAAAATATTGTCACTTTTGTTTGCTATTTTGCAAAACTTGAAAAAATGGATAGGGTTAAGGGAGTTCACAAGGCATGAGATCTATCCCCCTCATCTGTCAATGTCCTGGTTGCCTTGTATTTAGTAATCTCATGTGACTTCTATACACCAAAGCTCCTGTGTAATCTTAGCAAATATGAGGTCAGAAACAGCAGCTTGATCAGTTGCTTATTTTATTATATTACTGAGCAGTGGAGTTGTGGAAAACTTTTCTGAAGTGCTGGCTTTGTTGTTGGGAAGATTGGAGTTTAAGGCATGGATCTACCACTTATTAGTTATGAGATCCCGAATAAGTTTTCTTTCTTCTTTTTTTAAGTCTCTTTAAATTTCCATTTCAGTGTCTGTAAGATGGAGATAATAAAAGTCCCCTTTTGAGAGGACAGTTGTGAGGATTCAATGGGACAGTGGAGATAAGGCCTTTAGTGTAGGCCCAGGAACAGGGTAGTACTCAGAAAATGTGATTCTGCTCCTGTCAGCCTCACAAGTGCCTAAGTGGGCACCATGGAAAGATAAGACCTTCTTTGTAAATTTGCTTATGGCACTTTTTTTCAGCTAGGAATTTGTCTGACTGAAGAGAAAAGCTGTGGCAGATATTAACATGGTCCCAGAGCAAGGGGTACTGTAGGAGCAGCAGGCCATAGAGAATATCTTGGTCAGGGTTAGAAGACATGGCCTTTGGTCCAGGCTTTGAAACTATACCTTTTGATTCTCTAGACTTAGTGTCTCATCTCCCCAGTTCCTGGTATGCAGGAATGTGGAAATAATCATCTAGATTAAGGGATTATTCTGTGATTGGATGGAATAATCCTTTCTATAGCCTTGATATTTTAACCAGAATCTGCATTTTATTTATTTATTTATTTAAAGGATTATTATGTTTAAAAAGATTTATTTATTTATTTATTATACAAGCACTGGGTATAGTCAGAAGCGCTGGAGGGTGAGAGAATTCACCAGAGGCAGAGCAGGGACCAGAACAGCCAGACTGATGAAATACACTGCTGAGGGGAGCAACAGGCATGTCAGGAGAGGTCTGCACGCCATGTGGGACCCTCGCGGGCAGCTGGCGATGGAACTGGCGCTGCAGAGGCTGCGGGCAGCTTTGCAACCCAGCGCTCAACCTCGGTGCCACCAGGGGAGGCCCCAGAATCTGCATTTTAAAGTAAGAGTCTCAGCTGATTCACATATACATTAAAATCTGATGAACCAAAAAAAATTCTGATTCTGTGAGTAATCATATGGAGCATGGCTACCCTGATAAGAGAACCTGTCCTCCCAATGCTGTTATGTGAGCACGAGTAAGTGTCTATGGCAATCCACCATATTTGTAGCTCCTTGTTGCAATGACTTAACTTTCATCCTGAGTATTGCATTATTGTTATCCTTATTTTAAGGATGAGAAAAATGAGATTTGGAAAGTATATCAACAGGATCCTCATAGGAAATAGGATTTAACTTTATGGTTGGAATAAAGAGTTTTTAATATAGGGATTACATAGTTTTTAATATGTGGGCTAATGCAAGGTTATCTCTTTTCTTAGAAGTAAAGAGGAGGAAATCAATTGGTAGCTAGAAGGGAGAGTCTGAGAGTGAAGAATCTGAATATATTTGTACACAATGGGGAGGGAGCCTGTAAAATGGAAGAAATTGAGGTTAAAAGAGATGATTTGTGGGATTGTGAAGGAGGCAAGAGAGTAGGCTGAAAGCATGGCTTCAGGAAAGAGGGGTGTTTAACTTCTCTGAGATAGAAGGGAAAGATGTATGTAGATGTGTCAGTCTGTAAGTGTAATGTGTGTGTGAGATTAGGTTTGAGGAAGTTCATGGCTTTACAAAGTAGGATATAGGTCTTGTGCTGAGAGAGAAAGGGCCGTTTCTTATGCTAATGAGATCTATAAATCTGCGGGGAGAGGACAGTGAATAAGGTGGGTGAGGGTTGCATCTAGTTGGAAAATCTCTCTTGCTGTGAGTCTTCTGCTTTGTGCTGGCCACAAGGTGGTCATATTGGGGAACAATTCTTGTCTGGTAGGCAGTCCTGGTTTTTAATATGAAATCTCCTATGTTTGACTCAATTTGGTAGATAATTTCCTTAGAATTAAAACTGGACAATGACATCATATCCTGAGCTACTGTATAATATTTGAGGCACTAAAATTTCATTCTGGTTTCTTTGTCCATTGGCAGAATTTGTACCCTGGACCCAGGACGTGAGCCCTGTGCTTATCTGATTACTTCTGGAGAATGAGTCCCTGTTCAATAGAGCAGCCTACATCAGCCTCACTCATTTTAGTTGCTTTAGTTGCTGTTCAGAATTCACATATGGGAAAATTGTTTGGAAGGCGCTATAACCAGAATTGGCTGTCGATAATTCTGTGAATTATGTGCTAGATGGCTTGGAAAGATGGGCACTTGCCCAGGGGCTTTAAGTTGCTTGCAACTGACTCTGCAGACTCTGGTCAGTGATGCTCTGGCCCCTGGGAGGTTGCCATTTTATAATCATCTCCATGTTGCTGGCTTTGCTGGCCAAATCATTAGGCCAGCTGGTGGCTTCTCTTTGGCAGCTGTTTTAAGAAACAGATTTCTTTTATAGAGACAATGGATTTTTTCATCCATGTTTGAATGGATTTGTGGCCTCCCTTCCAGTGCTGAATTGTTTGTCCAGTTTAAAAAAAATAGTGAGCAAGCACACATAATTCTCAAATTCTCTGTAACTTCTGACAAGTCTGGGGTAAAAGGACTCTACTTGATAGTTGCTGAATGTGATCATTTCTGAACTTTTTTTTTTTTTGTTAGGATATCACTTTGTATACAGGCAGGAGAGGACTTTAGAAGCATTAGTTAATGTTTTCCCTTACCAGTATAAGATAGCATCTTACAATGAATTACTAGACATCTAATCATTCAGTATTTTTGGCATGAATTTATTATGTATTTTTACATAAATTCTTCATCTTTTTCTTAATTCCAGGAGCTAAATAATTGAATCTTCTCTGGGAGAATTACCTTGCTCCGAAAATGCTGTCTCTTTTTAAGAGAAAAGGTAAAGTTGATTATCTAATTGCTTACTAAACAGAAAGAAGCAAATTAAAACTTGGTTAATGGAATAATTTACTGCTTTGATTTCCATGTATTTCTGGCTAAATATTATATATTTTTTGTTTATAAGAGCTTAAATTTATTTTCTATGTAAAAGAAAACATATACAGATGATGTATGGTAAAAAATCTGCAGATAATGTTAAATGGAAAAAGCAAGCTATAGTGTGTATAGTATGATCTCCAAATTATAAAGTGAAAAATTAATATATGCTTATACAAACACCCAGAGATATATTTGCATATACATAGAAGTGCAAAAAATAATTGGAAGGAATGTTGGGATTTTGTTTCATTTTTTATTAAATCTTTCTTGCACTTACTGTTTTCCTGAATGGAAGTACTTCTCATGTGTGGGCAGATAGAGTAGTTTCTTAGAAATAAAGAACATGATGCTACTCATATCAGGGTGGAGAGTGAAGCCTCCTGATGAAATTGAAGTGCTGAGAGATGTCACATTATTTTGTAGGATAAATATAAAGATGTAAAATTGGGAGCCTGAGATAATAAGTCCTATTTCTTTCCTAAAAATAAAAATATATAATTCCGTGCAACCATTTATTCCCAATTGTTAAACTGTCAACGTTATATATTTAAGGCTTTGATAGAATTAGCATTCTCAGAAAGAATTACCAAAACTAAAGGGCATTTACAAGTGGCAAATACAAGCAATAATTTGTTAACCCGTGGAAAATGTACTTGATTTAAGTCAAACAAATCACAGTGCCTGAGTTCACAGGTATTCTAATGAGATGATGAACTGGGAAAGAAAAATGGAGAATGCCTGAGGAAGAAGTGAGCACATAGCACATATTGTCACGCTGTGTCTCTGGCTCTTCTTAGACCCTTGAGAAACATGCATGTTTTGGTGTGTGCTAAATTGTTATAGAGCAGATTCATAAATATAATAAAAGATAATTATAGTAAAGGTATTTTATTACACCCTAGGCGCCAATATAGCCTCATTTCTGAAGACTTAAAACACACCTACAGTTTAAAGTAGGTCCCTAGAGAAGCTGGTGGTGAGCCATCCAGCCTAAGGCAATTTATTGGCAGAATGAAATTCTGGCTAATTTCCTTAGTGCCAGTGTGTCCAGTGCGCTCATTAACTGCACTAGTTACCAATGGAAAAATACCTCTTTCAGTGCAGGGCACTTTGCTGAAGTGGAGCCAGCCTCCTGCGAAGTGCCTGCAAGATTGGTTTGGAGTATTCTGAAGTGGTTTGGGGGTCCCCAGAGACTCACAGCGTGGTGTAGTGACTCCTGTCAGGGGCCCCTTTGGCCTCCGTGGAAGGTTCTGAAGTAGGACTTGTGCTAATGCCAAGCACGGTTGCTAAGACAGCTTCTGTGTGTTATTGTGCGAAGAGGAGAGTTAGCCCCACGGCTCACCTGCTATTGTAGAGCGAGATGTGAAAGGAAGAGCAGAACACCTTGATGAGGGGTGTGAAGTAATGGCAATGCAAAGCCTGGGGATGGATCTGAAAAAGACTTGAGCCATGGTCACTCCCAGGGCAGAAGAAGCTGTAGTCAAGGATAATTGCAAGTCAGAGAGCAAGCAATTTGTTGAGGGAGAGTGTAGAGAAGTAAGAGGAAGGGGTGGGGAGAGGTAATATAATGATGCCAAGGCTTCTGAGGCAAATGGGGGGAGGGGAGGTTAGATGGGCCTGGGATGGGGTGGGGAATGAACTCTTAAGTATTTTTGGATTTTCAGGGTGAATGGCTATTTGTACAAGACAGAATTCTAGAACTTTCTGTGTGGTGACTTCTGCATTTTCACTTGACTGACAGATTCCCATTATGTTTTCTGTTTGCCATTCAAATGGACATCGAGGGGTGCTTTTCATAAGTGACACTCAAGGAATGACTGCTTATTTCCAGTCTTTAAATTGACTAAGAACCTACTGCAGAGGGGCAGGGTGGAAAGCCAGGAGCAGGATGACTGGATGTAGCCAGATTTGAGAACATGGTTTTCAGAGAGATGTGAGTATTGCCCCTTTGATAAAGGATACGGTAGAAAAAGTTTGGATTCTTTCTGGAGTCATTTTCCCTTTCCCTTCAAGGAAGGAGGACTAATGCGTGATTCACTTCAGTCTTTAGGGTGATGTCACCTTGTGGAACTCTGCGATAAGGGTCCGGGATGGTGTGAGACCGGGAGTGTCATTGGAGCAGAGAAAGAGACTAGAACTAGAATCCCAAGAGTGCATCTGGAGGGGCACAAGCATAAAATGGAGAAGGGAAAAGTCAAAGATTCGGCCAAGGATGATTGTGGGGTGTCTCTTGAAGACTAAACAAGTGAGAGTATCATTTCTGCAGCTGTCTAGAGGGAATAACTAGATCATTTACTTCATATGCTTAAGAAAAACAGCTGCAGAAAGATCAATAAAGGGAAGAGTGAGGAAACAGGGTAGAATAGGGAGGCGTTTTTCAAAGGCTTCTCCAAATCCACAAGGCATCAGTGAAAGTTATTATGTCTATTATGACAGACTTGGTGTTTTAAGATGAGAAATCCTGTCCTTAGTGAATAGAGCATGTAGTGAGCGACGAACAGCAGGTCTGCAAAATTTCTTTGACTGTGAACTGTTTACTTACTCGCCTGTGCTTATGATGCTTTTGTCTCTGCAGTTCTTTGTGGGTAAAATAATTATTTTTTAAAGATACCAGTTTTTAAAAATGCTCTTCTACTGAGCTTGTGAATTGCGAGGGGGAAAAAAAGGCAGCCCTGTGGTTGTAGTTTAGTCTAATGCCTTTGCAGAGCATCAGTAACAGTTGGGCAAAGTATTACGAGAGCTCCTGCAATAGTGTCACGAGGAGTTCAATTATGTAGTTTTATATAGAATTGATTATATTCTTGTATAACATATTTCTTTATGGAACTATGGAAACTACTTTGCTGAACTATAAGTTATTAATATACCTTAAGTTATTAGTAGAGCTCACTTTCTAGTTTCTACAGTTATAGGGTATTGCTGACATCTTTTTTTAAGATTATTTTTATTTACTTATGCATATAAGAACCGGGGTGTAGGCCAGAGAATTCACCAGAGACAGAATGGGGAGCAGAGCAGGCGGGTCGACTGGAATACACTGCTGAGGGGAGCAGCGGATGAAACAGGAGAGGTCGGCTGCACCACATGGGTCAGCTCCCTGGCTGGGGATTGAAGGGATTGAATTTATGCCACAGTGGCTGGCTATAGCTTCATAACGCTGAGACTTTAACCCCTGGTCCACCAGGGAGGCCCCATCATGGAAGGTTGTTAAGCTTGAAAATTGTGGGAACTTAGTTTCTTAGCTTTCCATGCAGCTGTGATGCCGACATGTCTCTTAGCCTTGGTCAGACAGATGCATCTACCCTGGAAGAGACTTCAAATAGAGAGAGAAGAAGAGAAAAGCAGGAATAACAGGGAAGCAGGGAGTCTTTTCTTCACAGGAGCAGTGGCAGCAACAGTCACTTCACAGAGGCAGCAGGGACAGCAGTGGTGAGGGTGGCCTACTTGGCGATGTGACACTGGGGACTTCCATGCTATGAGTTTGTTTAGTAGCAATTCTAGCTGCCTGGTCTTCCTTGTTCATGATCATTTTCTGATTTTAGTCTTATAGTCTTTCCTATGACTTTGTGCACTACTGAAAGTTCTAAGTCTCATTTTTTGCCAAAATCAGGCAGTCAGTATCTGTTCCTTACTATTGTATTTTATGTTTAGTGGGTTTCTTACATTGAATTGCATGTACCCTGGGTTTTTCCTTTCAGTTCTGTGACTGCATGGTGATCAGTAAGTTCTAGTTTGACAACCCAGGACTGAGGGACCCCTAGGATACATGACTTCTGGGCAAGTCTTTTTGTTGAAGCAGCGAACCTACAAAGTAGCCCGGTGGCCTTGGACATGTCTCAAACCTGCTGGATCTGTTTCTTCATCTGCAAACTAGAGGGACACCTGTTATTATGAAGATAAAATTAGATAGCTGATATGAAAGCCCTTTGCAACATGAAAGGGGCCATACCAAACCAAATGGCATGGTTAGTTCTAGATAAGTGTGCTCTGTATACTTCCTTAGCTGGCAACACGGAGAGTGGTTCTAGGACCAGCTGCATGGAAAGAACCTATTAAGAAACAGAGGAAATGTTGAAATACTTCTTTAAAATTACAGATCCCTGGGTTCTACTCCGGATCTATTGAGCAAAAATTCCAGAAGTGAGCCCTAATAATCTAAAGTTAGCAAATTTTCAGAGAATTCTAATCCACACTAAAATATGAAGATCCTGGCCATAAGAGGAGAAGGAACAGGGTGTATAATACACCATTTTCTCTTCTTACTGCACCTGGGTCAGTTCTGTTTGCTCAGTTTTAGAGATCCCACTTAAAATTCTTGATACTCTAAGCATGGACCATGAATCAGCATCACTGGCATCACTTGGGCATTTGTTAGAAACGCAGAATCTGGGGCCCCATCCCAGTCTCACTGACTCAGAATATGCAGTTTAACAAGATTTCCCTGGTGATTTGCATGGACATTAAAGTCTGTGAAGGACTGCTCCACAGTGATAGAGCCCAACGGGGGTGAGAGGAGGCAGGACTTACCTATCAGGTGTAAGGGATTGGACCCAACAGGGGACCCTCTCTTCTTCCCCAAGCTTTCAACCTACCGAGACCAATCAGGAATCATAGGTGGGGATCAGAATGCCAGTTTTTTGTGTGTGTTTTTTTTTAACTGAGAAATCTGTATTGGAGGACATGACTGGGACAAGTATACTTATCTACTTATCAGCCTTTCCTGAATTGAAAGTAACCTTCCAAAGGTCAGTCCTCCCCAGCCACTCTGCCCTATTAAACTCTCACATGGTTAGGGCACCCTTCTGGCAGGGAGACAGCCAAAAGAGAGAAAGGACTGACCCAAGGCTGCCGACTTTCTTTCCCCACCCCATCTGCTAGTTACTCACGCCTTGCTTTAAGTAAAGCCATGAATCCTCTCTAGGCAAGTAACTCCACCGCAAGAGCATTGTGACATAGAGACGGCAATGACATCGTGTGGAGTCTGGCTAGGCAACCCCCTCTCCAACCCAGCTGCCTCTTTTTCTCCTCTACTCCACAGCTGCCAAGGCTGGGGAACCCCATGAAAACCAGGTGGTGGGTGCATCTGCAGTTGAACTTCTGGAGGGAGGAGCCAGCTAGTGAGCTGTACATTTTTGAGATGGGGCTGCTATCACCCCATGCCTAGGTAACTTCACCCTGGACTTTTCCTTCAGTTCTTGAAGAAGCTACTTTTTTTCCATGCATAGGTTTCTCACTTCCATTACGTGATAATGACTGTGAATTCAGACTACTTGCCTTAAAGCCTAATAGTGTGTTAGTGATATGCAAAACTCAACATTGAACCCCAATGTGTCTAGCATCATCTAATCATTTAATTGACCATAATGATCTTGTAATCTGGATTTTGGAATGGACAACTCGGACATTTTTTCAGTGTTTCCAGGTGGATTTCATATGTAAAGGGGAGGAGATATGTAATGTCTACATGCCAAGTAACTGATTTTTCAAATTACATTCATTCCTCTTTATTTTTTTGCAAGTATAGGGGGTTCAATATAGTTCAAGGAAAGCATTGTGGTAAACAGCCAGCTTAAATGTGAGCAGTGTAAAGAGCAGCAGCTTGCAGAAATATTGCTATAGATGCTAAGACCGTATCCTGCCTCGATACAGACCACACATAATTGAATCATGTTCAATAGAAGGCTATTACAAAACCGAACTTATTTGCAATGCTAATGTGGGGAAGACAGCTGTCACAGGGAATTAAATATGATCATTCAGAGCTTGAATAAATGAGGTGTCCATTATCTTCTGGCTGTGTTGCAGGCTGCTTGAAGAACACAAATAAATGATACTGTTGCAGTAACCAGCCATGGTTTTGTTTTTAGTCATAGAAATATGAGAGCAATGGAGGCGGGGGTGGGGAGATAGGGCTACAGAAAAGAAGCTTGGCAGATAAATGCAGGCAAGTGGGCAAAGAGTTTGATTCCCCCTTCCCTCTGTGAAACTATCTTTCCAAGGACATAATCAAAATTCTATTTTTTCATGTCTGATGTGGATTTTAATGCTTTTAAAGATTTTTGTCAAGATTCCTCCTTTCTCCCTAAAACTCATCACAACCAATTCACACAGAAAGCTGAATGTGAAAGGGTAGAGGGGGAGTAAACAAAGCTAATCCTTTTGTCTCTTCCCCAAGGCCTGCCTTCTCATCCAAGTGGATAATAAAGATAAACAGAGAACTTCTTCATGGTTAATCAATCTGCCAATGAGCATAAAAGGTACTTGGATCAGAGCTAGTTTTAAAAATGCTATTAATTATTCCAACTAAAAGAGAAGGAAGCTTCCTTTGATTGGCTCTGAGCAACTTATCTATGAATTAGTTTTCCTATGTTATTAACATGAAGATACTAAGCTGTCCTCTTTTTGACAAAAGAATTAGAAGCAACTCTTCAAAGAGCACTTACATATAAGACCATTTAGAGATAGAAGATCTAATGCAGGTATTTCCAGAATACCTGTGATTAGTCTGAAATTATATAACACTGGTCAAGAGAGAAATCCTTGCCTCCAGAGAACAGTGGCTGGCAAGATAGTCTTCCTTAGGAAAGAAGGGAGCAAAATGACCCCTCAGAAGTAAACAAGGTCTGCGAAAAAGCCTTTGTCTTATGCTCTTAGCCATCATTAGACGTTAGCTGTCATAAGAAAAAAAATAAGTAAAAGAGAAATTAATAAGAGTGTGTCTATGCCTGTCTTTTCTACTCTAAGAAACTTAATGTTCGATATTTTGTGTATTGATACATGAATTGCATTTGTGCAGCATTAAATTCAATTCAAGAAGGTATTCTATTTCTAGCTTCTAAAGACTCTGAGTACCTTAATGTGGCAGGTCTGTTAATTCTCTATAACAGGTTAAAAATCTATTCCTTTGAGAGAACACTCTTTAGTCTTCTCCATTTATAGTGATGGGAAGAGGAAAAATAGCATTGACCTTAAGAGTTAAAATAATTCTCTAGAGCCTTGACTTGGAAGGAAATTTAAGTGTTAGAACAGCCTGATGTGGTAGGAAGCTGTGGACATTAAACCCCCACATCCACGTCTTGGATGTCTCTTCACAATTCCCAGCGTGCTATGAACTGGACTTCTTGGCTAGGGTGGGCGGGCTGCTGGCAACCAGAGGTGGAGCTGAGTGCTGAGTGGCCATGTTGACCTTGAAAACACTGGTGCCGAGTAGGCCTGACTCCTCATCTTACTTCTCAGGTGTTGGCTTGCATACTGGTTTCAGCTCAGATGCGTTGCTGGTAGGATACTTAATCTTCTTTCTTTCCATTCTCCTTCTTCTCATGTCCCTTCTAAATAAACCATTTAATTTTTTTTCTATGTGTTTGTCTGCTTTTGGTTCTTGTCTGTTTTTTTTTTTTTTAAAGATTTTATTTATTTTTGCATAGAAGAACTGGGGTATAAGTCGGAGGTGCAGGGGGTGGTGAGGGTTCAAACCGGGGTACTCCCTTATATTTCTGAGTGTGCCTGCTAATATAAGTAATCATGGCATCTTTAGGCCTAGGTTGGGAGAGCCTCTCCTAAATTACTGAAAACAGAAGTCTGTCATATTAGAAACTTGAATAATTTATTATAGGACTAAGATATTCCAGGTGGAAACTTAAGCTTTTAGCTGAAATATTTCTTGTCAGTCCAGGATTATTGAAATGATTGGGGTCTAGTTTGGTCATGTGCATGGCATGTTACTTAAGAGTCAAAGTTCTAAGAGATTGTTAGCTTAGTGTATATGCTGCCTGCCTGGTCCTGCTGGGCTGGTGGTGGGAGGAAGGATGTGAGCATTTAAGGATCTGAGACCTTTGATTACTGTTGTGGGAAAAGTGTACACATCTCAGCCAGCAAACATTTATTTTCTATTAGCTACCATTGTTATAGGCACTGGGGATATGTTTAAGAAAAAGAAATCCTATTCTCAAGCTACTTATTCTGCTAAAAGTAATTCATAAAAAGCAAATTGATTTGTTGTTAGGGAGAATTAATAGTCATCAGGAACTCAAAATCTAGTAACTTGTTCAGTTCAGTATTCATGCTACTTATATTTTGAAGTCTCAGTGTCCTCATCTGAAAAATGGGAATAATAATGAATTTCTAAGCAGATTGTGATAGGAACTATATGAGAAAATTTTTATGCTTGATACACAAAAAACACTCAGTAAATGGTGTTTACTGTTTGTGGCTAATAGTGAGAGTTCTAAAAGCTGAGATCAAACTGACTTTGACTTCAAATGCCAGCAACATGTTATCTCTTGATGTATGGATGCAAGTCATTTAACTTCTCTGAGTAGAAACATTTTCACATTTGTACAACCTGTGGATTCACACAGGACCTTGCACTATGTTTAATGCTCTGGTACTCCTGCCTTGAAATTTTTAATAATTTTTGGACAAAGGACTTTGAGGTTTTATTTTGCACTGGACCCTGCAAATTATAGCTGGTCCAGTCTCAGAGCTTCAACGTCCTCATATAGAATGGAGATGATAATACGTACCACATTACATTTCAATGGTCTCATTTTAGACTCTCGTTTTAAAAGTTTTTATCATTTTCCATTTGTCTCCTTTTCAGACATAATATCGTCACACCATGCTCATATGGGTTTGTTTCATTTATTTTGTGCAAAAGAAAGTCAACTCTATTTCTTACAGGAAGATGAAAATTTAAGCTTAAAGCACACAGTCTCATGCTTTAGCAATGAAGAATCGTATTCTGAAGGTTTCAACATCTATCACAGACTACTCAGTGTTTTTATGTGAGGAAATTGTTGCATTTAAAATAGAAGATATAACAAAATGTAGAACAATTCATAAACTTATATAATAGGAATATATCCGGCCCTTGGGTTGATGCTTTGATGTAGAGCATAGTATGAAAGCAAACTTCAGTACTAGTTCAGTGCCCTCTTATAACTAATCCTTGCAATTTAGGTCCCTGTATCCTAAGCCAGAGAGAAATAAAGAACCAAGTCTCACTATACTGGAGACAATAAATTTGAATGAAAGATTGAAGAGAAACAAACCATTTCTGAGTGCTTCAAGCAAAACAGCATAGTTGCTTTGAATTCTCATCCATTAGCAGGTAGGAAGAGAAATGGGAAAATGAAAATAGCTTTAAGATCAACTGAGGTCTGTTGAGATAATAAGGAATCCGATGTAAGCATGTGTTCAAATCCTAGCAATTTTAAAATTTGGATTTCTATCTTTGACAATAAAAAATTAAGTGTTGGGTGTGAAATCTAGTATCATTTGGATTCCTAGCAAAATTTCTCTAAAAGCTTTAAGGCACGTAAATATGACAGTGAGTTTGTGTGTGTGTGTGTGTGTGTGTGTGTGTGTGTGTATAGAGTTAAAAAGAAGAAAAGGGCCAAAATCCAAATGGAATCACTAATGTTAAATCCCACCTCACCAAGCAGAGACTTAATTACAGTTGCAGCTCTCCCGGAAATGGAATCTTAGAGCAGTCAATCTCAATTACCAGATCAGCACAGTGAAGTGACTGGCCTGATGGAATCTCTAAAGGAAAGTAACCGTCTACAACCAGTCTACTTTATGGTGGTACAACTTTCTTGTTCTTGCTCCCTTTTGCCTATAAAAGTCTTTCATTTTGTGACGCTGCTCAGAACTCCTTTCTGTCTGCTATATGTGGTATGCCCCATTCTTTAATCACTGAGAAAAGCCAGTGTAGATCTCTAAAATATATATAGTTGAACTCTGTATTGAAAGTAAGAAGTGGCTTGAAATTTCCTCATGGTGAGGTGAATATACATACATACACTTTAGGTTTGCTTCTCTATAAAGCTTTGTGAAGGCCTAAATGCAAATGGACCAGGATTGGCAAATAGGGTCTTTTTAAATCCAGAGAATAGCTGTACTCAAAATTTGGGGAAAAACTTT